ATCAAACATAATAATTAATTACCAATAACTTTTTTACTAATTGGTTATTATTTAATGATTGATGTTTTGATAGGTGCAATAAATAATTGTGAAAAGTTTTTAAACGAGTTCAAAATTTGTAGCAGACAGAGTGACTTGATAAAATCTTTGCAAAAAAATATATCACCACTTCTAACATTGACAATAGCGCAGTAAAGCTTGTTGGAGTATACCAGTATACAAAAGTAGATATGTTCTCAATAGTTCAAATGTTCTAAGTGTATGTTGTGTGTGTGCAATTACGGCCGCTGATTTAGTTTCTCTTTATTTAGTTATGCTTCTGCAATATGTTCTTGTACAACTTGTCAGAGGTCCAAGACCAACGTCGTCCTAGTATGAGACGACATCAGTATGGCCCATGCAGCAGTCAGCTGTTTATCAAACTCAACAAAATCTTCATAGAACATAGCGGAATCCAAGGGGTGATGTAGCCTCGTGAAAAGGGGCTTATGGGGGGGGGGGTTCGATCTCGGGACATTCCGGTTTATTCTACCCGCCAATATTGTGGACACTTTTGGGGTAGAAGGTTGTTTAGTTAACAATGTTTCAAAGGCAGAATTTATCTCTTTTTTTCTGTTTGTTTCATACTTAATTTGATACAAGCTATCACAATTAGAGGTTTTGGTTTGATACAATCTGTAGCAAGTTGTAAGTCTAGCTTGATACGGCCTCTTACCAATAGAGCGACGCTTTAATACTATCTGTTACAAATACTGTGTTTGGTTTGATACGATCTGTTACAAATAGAGCGATGGTTTGATACGATCTGTCACAATTGCAGCGTTGGTTAGATTCGATCTGTGTCATGTTGAAAGTTTGTGATAGTGTGACTAGACTGCTGACTCTGTTTGAATGATCTCATGTCACGTTAAACTGAAGAGGCGAAGGCTTACAGTAAACGTGTCAAATAGTCCCGTTCTAGCTCCAACATTTCTACAGAATCTCATTCACAAAATCTGTTAGCTAGTTTAGACTCTAAATTAATTTCAGGTCTTCCAGATCTGTAGCCTATTTTGTTTCGAGTTTATTGTCGGAATATTAAGATAGCAACTCTGACTAAATGAAGCTGTTGTCAACGCTCTTTTGCCCTGAATTGCACCAAAATTGTGTAGTTCTAGGAAATAAAACTAGTTTACCAATCAAACGTCGCTGTCTGGACAGGACGCTGTGCCATTTTGATCTTGAGTTGGCATTAACTCTGGTCCACGACTGCCACACGCCCGACTGTCTCTTGAAAACAAAAGGCTAATTAATAGAGTGTTTTACGGCAAGGGATGACGTCTTGGTGTCATTGAGCCACACATTAGGATTTAGATTTACTATTGTCCAGAACTCCGCAGGGAAGGAGGGGTTACGTCTAGACTCATTGAGCCGCTACCGTACACTCAGGGGCGAAGTCGTCGGCCCAGCGAACAACAGTATGCACCTATGTCTGTTGTGTAGTCAAAGCGTAGAGAGATCATCCCTCCGCCCTTTCCAGGTAAAAGTCTCGAGTCGAGACAGCATGGGGCGGATTTGGACACTTCGATCTTACTTCTAATCCATGTTGCAGCAGCAAGAACGGAAGAAACTTTGAAGACAGTGTCGAACTCGCCAACACTGTCTAGACCTCGCTTTGTTGAATAACTCCGCCCACTCGCAAGTAAATAAATAAATACCGATGCACTTGTAGATCTATATTTTAGTCAGCGAAACTTTCTGAGCTATTTCAGTTGATCAAGTTCTTAGTTCTAGTCTATTAGGATACTGTGTCTTGTTCTTGAGTTGTGACATTACAAGTGAAACAATCAAACAGGTAATTTGTGCTTTTTTTTTTTCCCCTTTGCTTTCATCTCTATTCATTCCGTCTCATCTTTTTACCAAGAAGACAGCAACTGTACAAGTATTTTAACATTAACCCATTCGCTCCTAACTTTGTCTCTGTTATAAGCTCTCTAACATACTTTCTGTTTTACTTTCATGATGCCTGCGATTGTCCGTGCTGAAATGTAAAATCGCATTGAACTAGAGTTAATGACTACAAAAGGCGAAGCCTATTTCTTCCCTTGTCAGTATACAAAATGTAAATATCAGACACTTAGTTTGTTCAGCTTAATAGAAATAAAAAATGAAATGTCAGCCAAAAGAAAACAAATTATATTTTGAAATAGAAAATCTTGCATTCACTTTGACGGGTAGAAGAACTCGTCCTAAAAGTAAGGTAAACTGTTCTCTAAGTCACAAATCTTGTTCGCATTTAGTCAAGAAATGAGAACTTTGATTGGCGACACACACGAGAACTTTTTCCCAGAGAAACATTTCACTACTAAACATATTTAGACAACAGGCAACAGGTATCTTTGCTCATGTTTTGTTATCCCAGTGTGTATCCTTGTGTTATCCCTGACTTTAGCGTGCTGCTATCCTTTGTAGGACCTACAGCATTGTGCTATCCGTGAGTTTAGGTTTTCTGTGTTGGAAACTATTAATACAGCAAATAAGCAAGCTCAAAGGGCAATCAATCAGATCAAATTAGTAAAAATTAGGATTAAAATCTGTGTTTATGTCCCCCTTTCATAAAATAGTTTTCTCGTGTTGGGCAGCCTCATCCCCTCCCCCCTTTCATCTGGAATAGTGCACACCTGGAATCTAAACGTCTAACAGATTCATTTAGTAGTTGTGCTGCTGTTGCCCCCCCCCCCCCCTTTTTTTGTTTGCCTTCTAAATAGCCGTAACTCTCTTGCCGGGCAGCATGAGTCATGCGAGCTACCCATCTTCTCAGTTCTCTATTATTTATTATTGGCCATAAAGTGGGAGCTGGTCCTGTAAGGTCAGCAGGGTACACCTGTTACCATCTTCTACCCCCCCCCCTCCCTCTCTCTCTCTCTCTCTGTATACCTTCCGTTTGAATTCTATTTTTATTGGCTTATGTCTTATTTTCTTTTCACTGTTTCATTTCTCACAAACACACTCTCTCTCAGACTAGACTATCTCTCTCTCTCTCTCTCTCTCTCTCTCTCTCTCACACACACACACACAACTTGTCCAACGAATGTCTCTCCATTGCGCCTCTTAGATTGTCTCATATTGGTCCAACAGAAATCGTGTTAAGAGAACTCGTCCAACTCCACAGGGAGATTATAAAAAGTGAGTTCCATGTTTTACTGAGAGCCGTTATTACTCTACGACCTCCACCACTCAGCAGTGACATACATACATACACCTTAGAGAGCCACAACCCCCAACCTGCATGTACCTGCGCCCAAATACCGCCCCTGTGTGTGTGTGTATCAGTAGATGTCAGGAAGTGAACTTATGTCTAAGATGACACTGCCGTGATTTAACATTAAGTTCATTCTGTCAGGGTCAGTGATAAATTCAACACCCCACCCCCCTTGCGCGCAATCCACCTGTAAATCACACCCAAGAGCGGGGTGGGGGGTGAAAGAAAGAAAAAAAAAAGGCGGGGGGGGGGGGGATATAGAGGCACGCGCGGACAGGTGTGCCATTCACTGACAACAAAGAAAGGGGGCGGTAAACTGTAGGCGGCTACAGGTCGCCCTAGACCCAAGCGGCACGCGACAACACTGGGGGGGGCTACCTGAAAAGTGGTTTTTTTCCATTTTCGGCTTTTTTTTTTAGCGCTGGGTAGAGGGGGGGGGGGAGTCTGAAACAGACAAAGGTGGCAGGTGGGAGACAGCTGTAACTTGAACTGAAACTATCTTTCATGAAAGGCTCTTCTGCCTCCACATATCCCCCCCCCCCTTCTGAGTGTGGCCCCCATGAGAAACTGTCGCTGGTTCCCATCACTTGATGCTCCTGAATGTCTCCCATTCATGGGCTCGACCCCGTTCACGTTTCTCTCACCCACACCACCCCACGGGGCTCATTAACTCATCAAGGGAAACAATTCATTAAATGTAAATCAATCGACCTACCCCCACCCAATTTTGTTTACAAGTTATTTTTAAAACGGAAGTGACATCACTGTGTTTCTTTCTTTCCAACCTGTAATGTGATTTGTTTGTTTTCATTACTTTGATCGATAGTAAAAACAAACTCACCCAGTCGTACAATGTACTGCTTGAGATGACTGCAGATAACGGGTTTATGTTGTTATAACGGGTTTGTGTGATTAATTTATGCAGGACTTATTCATTAAAGTAAAGCAGCACTGTTTGACATGAATAGCCAGGAGCATCTGTTTTGGTGTCTTTGTTTATTATTATTATTGATGTGCAATGTAATCTAGTTTCTCCCGTGCATTACATACAGCTGTAGACATGTAAATGTGTATTCCATTTGAGGCTCAAACTTACGTAGTCTGGCTCACGCATACTCTAAATGGCTCTGAAATAGGTAGCGTGGCTCTCGCATACTCTAAATGGCTCTTGAATAGGTAGCGTGGCTCACGCATGCATAGAGCGTCGCACACATACACATTAAATATACAAACATATATGTCACGGCACATGTTTTGATGCCATGGTTCAATTTGAATGACGCACTTCACATGTTTCTTACTTTAGCGCCCCCCCCCCCCACACACACACTACCTACCTTCTGTGAGCAATAAATTGTGTTGAATCTCATTGATTAATACACCTGGCTTGGTCATGCCAGATAAAGTGTTCCATTCATAGATACTTTCTCTATGAGAATTTCTACTAAGTGAAACTGCATGGACTTAAGACCTTCGGGACTAGGATCGGGAATCAAGGAGACATCCTGACAACACAAGATAGGGGTTTGACTAGGATCGGAAATCAAGGAGACATCCTGGCAACACAAGATAGGGGTTTGACTAGGATCAGGAATCAAGGAGACATCCTGGCAACACAAGATAGGGGTTTGACTAGGATCGGGAATCAAGGAGACATCCTGGCAACACAAGATAAGGGTTTGACTAGGATCGGGAATCAAGGAGACATCCTGGCAACACAAGATTAGGGTTTGACTAGGATCGGGAATCAAGGAGACATCCTGACATCGTAAACAACACAAAGGTTTGTGCCTGGCTTAGATGGAAAAGGATGAAAACTTCATCATCGCTAAGCTAGATGACTTAGTAACACAAGAACTGGCGCCACGCCTGCCACTGTTGTCCTATCCTAACATATACTGCACGACTTGAAATCAAGGTCTTTTAGGTTCATCTTTGGTCGACGGAGATACGTTTTATCTACAAAACACCAGCTAAATTAGATTGATTTATTTCGTATCTTATCCTCGACAACTTTTTTTCCACGCCTTCACTCTTCCCTACGTAAACACACAACTATGTTGGTGCAAATCAGTGTACAGAGTTTTATCAATAGGTCCCTTGCGGTTAACTTTAAGCAGTGCATCGATCTTCATGTTCCAGTAACTAAGGAAATGTCGTGATGAATCAAAGCCACGTATTCCAGTGATTTGTTTCTGTTGTAGGTATACAAGAGGTGTGCTCACTTAGCGACAGACAAGGGGAAGTAATTGACACGAGGACTAACTCTTTTCCTTGTTTTGACAAGAGGTAACACAGAGCATGAAACACAGACATTGAAGACATACAAAATTAGGTGAACATTAAATCTAACCTGACTGCTTCCCCTTCCCATATACACACATTTGTATTCTTGTTGTTGGTCATCTAGTGTTAACCCCCTCCTTTACTTGGCTGAACGCTAGCACTCGACACATTGAAAACCCACCTCACTTATGTTATTGGACAATTTACTGTACAGAAATGTCTTGGATTGGGGATGCAAATGTTCTCATCCTAGAGGAGGTCAAACGTAGGTAGCTGTCAATCTAAATTATTAAAACTGGAAGATCTGTAAGGTGAATGAAGAAGAAGCTAGACCTAGACCTAGTACCAGTACTAGAAACTGAATACAAACATGACCAGTTAGGATTCAAGTGACGTCAGCACTTTCAACTCAGGGCCCGCCACTATGTTCACGTCTTTGTTCAAATAGCAAAAAGTTTATAAAAAATATATTTTAAAAAATCAGTGTGGCTTTAAAAAAATACCCCCCCCCCCTTTTTTTTTTCCCCCTTATATTTTTAAAATGTATTTCCCCCTTCTCCCCTGAGTTTCCCTACTCTTTGTTAAGTGTCCACAAGCCGGCTTTTTTTTTTTTATAACTCCCCTCTCTCTCCCTTTTTTTTCTTTCTTTTCAGCCGCTGCTGTCAATCAGTGGAAAAAAGGGGCGGGACTGAGCGGCTTCGCGCGAAGGGAAGCTGTTCGTCGGCTGGCTGGCAGAAGAAGTGTTTTGCGTGATAAACCCCCGACTTTAGAATTTATAGTGAGACGGAAGAACGTGGACGTACTACAGACTGGTGTCCAAAAGCACACGCACACACGCGCACACCAACATGAGTCCGGCACAATACGCCGTCTTATGGACCTTGTATATTCTCTGTGTACAAGAGGTAAGTTCTATCACAATTTATTTGTCTTTCTTGTGTAGTCTCTGTGTCTCCTCTGTAATGTTGTCTGGCTGTTGTTTGGTGTGTCTGTGTGTGGCTCTACCAAGACGAGCGAGCGAGAGGCTCTTGTTTGTGTTGCACGACCCTCTCCCCAATGTTGCTGAGGCTCGTGCCACTTTTTGAGTTCTACATTTATACCTGTAGCTTTGTGAGCGTCCTAGGCCCTCAGGTACAAGGGCTCGCCCTACATTGCACTTGCCTAGAGCTGTGCATCGTTCTTCCTCCCATTCTGTCTTTCAGTTTCCTAGGCCTTAAGCGTTTTGTCTTTGAGAGAGAGAGATGTGAGTATCTGTATCTTTCCTACTCGCCCCGTTGTCTCCCACACTCAATCCAGTTGCGTAAGTCATGCCAAAGTGAGTGAGAGAGTTATGGTTATTGTATTAGTCAAGACCCTAGTAGCACTCACTCCTCGCCCTCCATTGAGTCCGTTTGTTCACGTTATAGATTGTGTAGCGTGAGCAATCCTCCACTTTTTACTAGGCGAAAATGTCTGTGGTAAAAAAGATGGGGTCACACGTCCAGGCAGTAGGTTTTTGGGGCTATGGTTGTGTAGATAAACAGTTGTGTTCCCCTCCCCCTGGGGTCTTACCATCTTTTGTTTTGGTGTGTTGCACTGAGCATGCTGTTACCTCAGTTTAAACCAGGGAGGGAGAGACGGGTGGCGGTGGCGTGCTGTTGCCTCACCAGCGTGTCGCCCGTATTTTGTGTGCGCGTGTGTGTTTTATGCACATATCGATTTCTTCTGTGGTGAGGGTTATTGTGCTGTGAGTCTGTCTCGTAGTGTGCCGTGAGTCTGTCTGGTAGTGTGCCGTGAGTCTCGTAGTGTGCTGTGAGTCAGTCTCGTAATGTGCTGTTGTCGTTCGCTTATGTAAGTGTAAATCTGTACACGGTACCTCTACACTAACTCATTCTCGTTGTATTTAGATCACTAGTCGATGTATTTTTTTTTTATTCACTTTTTTTTTCTTTCTTTTTTTCTCCCCTTCTCCAACCTGTGCCCCTCTGACTCCCGCCCCCTCCCTTGCAGACTGAGACATCAGGAGTGTTAGAGCTTCAGATCAGGTCGTTCAGAAACGACATTGGACTCACGGCTAACAACACTTGTTGTAGCGGCTTCCGGCAGGACGGACTCTGCTCCTCGCCTTGTCGGACGTTCTTTAAAGTGTGCCTGACCCACTTCCAATTGGACATCGGCAACAACCCGGAGCCCAAATGCACGTTTGCCAATTACACTACCCCCGTCTTGGGGGAAAACACCATGGATTTTACGGGCCTGTCAAACCTTCCTGTGCAGTCCCAACAGAATGTCTTCATTTTTCCAGCTACACAATTTCAATGGCCGGTAAGTTTTGTAGTTTGTATTTCTCTTCTAGAGTAGCAATAGTGTGTGTTTAGTTTGTTTCTGGATGGATTACACAAAAAAATGTGGATATATTCTGGATATAACCCAAACGGATATATGGATATTTGCTTGATATTTCGTAATGGATTACTTTTAATAAGTGAGTTTAATACTTGACGTCTGCTAGGTAAGTAACACTTTCATATTTTCATCAGTTTCACTTTTGGATTTTTTAAAATTCGTACATGCCTACACACACTCACTCACTCGACTAAACGCATGAATGTTTTGTGTACTTGTTGTCCTGGTGAAAGATACTCAACCATGTATGGTCTGTAATGGCTGTCATAATAAAAAGCTTTCAGTTTAGTGTACAGAGGTCAAACTGTCCAGTGGTTTGTTCGACCCATCACAGAACATGATTCAGTTTCCTCGTGAAACACAAATATCAATCCTAGCTACTGCTATGTCCCTTGTCTGTGGCTTCTGAAGATTTAGCCTTTTAGACATTTTTTAAAATATTTTTTTTATACTCTCTCGACTTGTCTCTCTCCTTCTTTTTCTCTTTCTCCCCTCTCTCTTTCTTTCTCTTTTTCTTTCTCTCTCTCTCGTCTCTTGTGACTATTTCAATGCCTATAACATACACTGGCAGCTGTGATACTCATAAAGCTTGTCTTTACTTAATCCCCATGTCTACACTTTAGTCCAGACACTTAATTCAGCCTCTTGTATGACATCATTTGAAGTAACTGTTGCATGCTTTGAACTTCACATCCACTGTTTCCTCTCACTTCCAGAGAACGTGTGTCCTTGCCTTCTTACCAGCATGTTTAGCGTCTTGTAATGCTTGGGCGCTCCTTCAACCATCAGATCATTTGATTTATGATTAAGATTACAATTATACTTCAACTTAATCGTTTTCCTTGCCCGCATCCCACATCGCATTTCTCGAAGATGTATTACTTTTGTGTACACTAGAAATTCTGTTTTGTTTGTGTTAGTTCATGTTCTGTCGGTTTTCCCATGCAATAGGTGTAGCGTTGTATGCAAGTATAGCCTGTAGATTGTTTCAACCTGTACTTACCCGTGAATAGAAATGTCTCTAGATTCTCCATTCACTACCCATCCTGGCTGTACTATGGTTCCTTATCTTTGCTGGCCCCTGTGTTGTGGCTACACTGATAGACCGGGCTGTGCACATGTTAAATATCTTTCCCCTGTGTGTGTGTGTGCATCTGTGCTTGCTTTGTAATCTGTCTGGCCTGGAATGTTTACAGTTTGTCACATTGTATTTTTGTTTACCTAGGTCCATCACTTTCACAAGTCTGACCGCATGGACATGATATAGTCCACTCAAGAGAATAGCACCACATAATATGACTCGAGCAATCATCCATTTTTGGCAAGCTCGCTCACTCTCTCTTCTCTCTCTCTTCTCTCTCTCTCTCTCTTCTCTCTCTCTCTCTTCTCTCTCTCTCTCTTCTCTCTCTCTCTCTATCTATCTATCCATCCATCTATCTATCTTTCTCTCCTCTCCCCATGTTTCTCTCTATATATTTGCACTATTCTCATGGCTGGTTGTTTGTGGTTAATAATTGGAAATAGTTGTCACCTACGTCTTTAGAGAGGGTGGTCAATGTATTCACTTCATTCTCGCTCTACTCCGACAGTTCCAGATTCCATTGTTATGAAGTTTAAATTGATTTTCAAAAGATATAGCTTTATTCCTTCATACTGCTTAGTAAACTACTGGTTGTAGAACCGAACTCTCTAAATTTAAAATGATTGAGTTCAATATCTGAAAGCGTATTTCCAATATGTAGCCAGTACCTAAACATTTGGAAGCTCGGTAAGATGTAGATATAACTTGAGCATCCTATAATGACAATAAATGTACAGAACTGGCTGTACGAGAGATGTATAGTTAGCCTCTAGGGAGATAAGGAGAGACAGACGGACGTCCATACAATGTAGATAAATGGATGGATGGACAGATAGAGCGATGCTCACGTAAGATGAGCACAACTTGAGTTCCCTGTGTAAACACCTCCTCATGGACTTATCTTCATGCCCTGAGACTCAGGTGAAACGGGGAGGGAGGCCTTGGGAAGCTCTGTTTATAACTCTTGTGGTTTTCGGGTACAGGCAACGGTACAATTTGTGGGGTGAGCAGCGCGCGCTAGATAGTGTGGGGTGAGCAGCAAGGAGAAAGTGGAGAGAATAGCGCGAGATACAGGAGGGGCTGTTGTGTCTGTTCAGACGTAACTTTTTTTCCCCCCTTGGTATCAACATGGGGGCGAAGAAATAATGTTTAAGATAACAATCCCAAACCAAGGCTCCGATAGTTTGTAGGTAGCCCCTGCATTAAACTTTCATACTTAATGTGGTGGTCATTTTATTTTTGGTACTTTTTGAGACGAAAAGGTATCATATAAAAGTATCCCATCAATTCAAGTGTCTTTAAAATGTGTCCTCTCTGCACCCACCCGCTCTGAGACACACACACACTCTCGCTATGTTGTTAGGCTCACTAAGCTCGAGATGGAATAGATGACCAATCGTTGTGTAGCGAGCACGCGCGTAGCACTCGACACGTGCAGAGAAAACTTCACTGGTATAATTTATTGAACAAGCAAAATAGTTTTGCACATTCTTGTAATCCGAGTCTACCCGGCGACTTGTGTGGGTTGACAAGTACTGTAAACTTATTCATTTGTAGACACTCTCTCTCTCTTTCTCTCTCTCTCTCTCTCTCTCTCACACACACACACTCACTTCACTTGTCATATACTTGTAGCCACTCTTTCCTCGTTGTAGCCACTCTTTCCTCGTTGTAGCCACTCTTTCCTCGTATTTCGGGTGCGATTTAAATGCGCCGTTCTCTATACTTAGTGACTTACCTGCGTGGTCAGTCTGGTCACTTAGCTGCAAGTAGATCTATTCAGTTGTCTAGACGCTGGGCGCCGCGCGCAAAGCTTCCCAATAGCAGCCACTAAGTCCTCGGTCCAGTCCAAGGTATTGTGTGCTAATTGTGTATCCCTGAGAGATGTACTGTATTGGTCTCCCAATCATTTGCCATTTCATCTGTTTTAAATGTTTACGTCACTACACCCCACCCCCACCCCCTTCATAGAAGACCAGTCTGGACATTGAATCATTAGTTTTTTGCACTGCTGATTAATGTATGTGTGTAACCCCCGTATAATTATAATGAAAATGGCGACGCTAGTATTCAGACATGTGGGGAGGGAAGGGTGTGCTTTAAAGCGCTACGAAAAGAACAAAATAAAGACCTATCAGTAGCCCCCCCCCCCCCTCCTACTCACTGTACTTCCATTTGTTTTGCTGAAACCCTCCCTCCGATAAGAAACTCGTGAATGCAAGGCTACCAGTATGAATGTTTTTGCTTAGTTCACCAGTACGTAACGGTTAGATGGGGGCACACCCTCTCCAGCATGTCCAATCTTGTGGGAGTGTGGTGGGGAGGGGGGGAGCTTAATCTAACGAGAGAGGGCAGGAAAGTGCATGGCTGTTGTTTTGTCAGTGGTCAAAAGCTATTTGCCCTGGCTTGATCACGTGGCTTGATCTTAATTAAGGAACTAATGGCATTGATAAGAGTGGGCGGGTCGTACTGTTTACTCGTCTGTCCCCCGGGTCCATGGAATTATTGATACAGTAGCGCTTATTGGCATGTTACTGTGACATAGTCTGGAATTGTTTATTAACTACTTCATCAATTCTTCCCACCCCCTCCCGTCTCAACGGTTCTTAAATTTCCACTGCTGATTCGACAGGTTTTCAACAGCCCTGTTCAATGTCTTGTCATATGCTCCTT